GAAACAGGAGAAGATAACTGGAGACAGCGAGTATAGACAGACAATGTTCTTTCTCCAGGTAGTTTTGCTGGAAGAATGGCTGAGAAATCTGACAGTACCCGGAGGGAAAATCGTGTGCTAGAAGGTTGTTATTGTTAATTGTAGTGCACACATAGAACATGAAATGTGTCATCTTAACCATTTTTAGGTGTGCAACTCAGTAGCATCACATGATTTCACACTGTCGTGCAGCCGTCACTGCCATCCATCTCCAGAACTCTTTTCATCTTGAAAAACTGAAACTCTGTCCCCACTAGACACTAACTCCCCTTCTCTTCTCCCAGGCCCTGGTAACCACTGTCTGCCTAGGAATCCGACTACTCTAGGGACCTCACATAAGTGGAATAAACAGAATTTGTCCTTTTGTGACTGGCTTACTTGACTTAGTGTAGTATTCTCAAGGTTCATCCATGTCGTAGCATGTGTCAGAATTTCCTTCTTTCTTAAGGTTGAGTAATATTCCCTCGAATGTATAGAACACATTTTGTTTATCCATTCATCTGTTGGGCACTTGGGTTGCTTCTACCTTTTGGCTACTGTGAACAATGCTGCAGTGAGCAGTGGCGTACAAATATCTACCTGTTTGAGACTCTGTTTTCAATTCTTTGGGGTATGCATCCAGAGATGGAATTGCTGCATCATATGGTAATTCTATGTTTAATATTTTGAAGAACCGTCATAGTGTATTCCATGGCTACCGTACCATTTTGCATTCCCACCAGCAATGCACAAGGGTTTCAATTCCTCCACATTTTCACCAATGCTTGTTATTTTCAGGTTTTTGATAGCAGCCACCCTAATGGGTGAGGCAGCATGCTGCTTTGTAAATGGAAGAAAAGTTAGTGTGTTCGTAGGACACAGGGAAGACCCAGGAGAAGAGGAAGCTGATGCAGGGGAGGGGCTGCTGGAGAGAAGCTGAGATCCGTGCAGAGGAGCTGCCCTCAGTCTTAAGCCTGGAGAGAGGGGAGGGAGCAGTGTGGTCTAGCTAGGATGTGAGACGGTGAGTGGATGGTGGTGGTGGGGGGTGGTAGGCTGTGTCAAGGGAAAAACCCAAACTCTGTAAAATAATTTAGAGGATTATTCTGAGCCGAATGTGTGTGACCCAAGGCCCAGGGAACGAGTTCTCAAGAAGTCTTGAAAAAATGCCCTGGAGGCAGCCAGATTACAGTTGGGTTTTATGCAGTCACAGGGACAGGAATTAGAGGTAAAATCATAAATCAATACATGGGGGGTATATAGTGGTTCGGTCCGAAGAGTGGGGACATCTCGAAATGGGGGTTTACAAGTCGTAGGTGGGTTTTAGGGATTCTTTAGCTGACAATTGATTGAAAGAGTTCAGCTTTGCCTAAAGACCTGGAATCAGTAGACAGAAATGCTTGGGTTAAAATAGGGGTCCAGTAGGATGCTTAAGTTAAGATGGGTTTTTTTTTTTTCCTTTTTTTTGGCCCTTTTAGATCAGAGAAGCAGAGGAAGGGAGGGGATCTCCTGTCATGTGATACTACATTGGAATCAGGTTGGAAAATAAATCACATCATACCAGGTTATTCAAACCCATTTAGTGACATTTTATCATTTGTAGGTGTGACTCACCAAGGCCTCTTAGAAAGGAATTTGGGCAAAAGAGAAAAGGTCAGAGTTCAGTCCTCAGCTGGATAATGGCCCCTGCAAAGACTTGAATTCCTGGAAACTTTGCAAGATCTTGAGATGGGGAGAGTATCCTGGCTTATCTGGGTGGGTCCCAGGGAATCACAAGTGTCCCCATAAATGGGAGACAGAGGGAGACTTGACTACTGAAGATACCACACTGTGTTCTCTTGGTTTTTTTTTTTTAATATTTCTTTTAGTTTTGTTTCTTTTTATTTATTTATTTATTATTTATTATTTTTTTTGAGACAGAGTCTCGCTTTGTTGCCCAGGCTAGAGTGAGTGCCATGGCGTCAGCCTAGCTCACAGCAACCTCAAACTCCTGGGCTCAAGCAATCCTGCTGCCTTGGTCTCCCAAGTAGCTGGGACTACAGGCATGCACCACCATGCCCTGCTAATTTTTTCTATATGTATTAGTTGGCCAATTAATTTCTTTCTATTTATAGTAGAGACGGGGTCTTGCTCTTGCTCAGGTTGGTTTTGAACTCCTGACCTCGAGCAATCCGCCCGTCTCGGCCTCCCAGAGTGCTAGGATTACAGGCGTGAGCCAACTGTGTTCTCTTGGAATAGGAGGGAAGCGGCCAAAAGCCAAGGAATGCAGGTGCCTCTAGAAGCGGAAGGCAAGGAACCAGATTCCCCACTAGAGTCTGGCAGCCATGGCTATCCTTTTTCTCTTTGTTTTTTTTTTTTTAATTTAGATATTGCTAACCTTTAGGGGTTGGCATCATTTTTACACAAACATCTCTGTTACCAGAGGCTCTAACTCCATCCCACAAACTTGCTAATAAGGAATCTCTTTCTGTTGAAGAGTATTTCTGTACTTGTCCTTTTACAAATTCAATGGTAAAAAGTTGTGGATTTTCTGAGTCACCAACCAATGCAAACACTTCTCCTAAAGCCTTTGATGTTGCAATATTATAGGTTGCTGGATCATGTGCTACTAAACATGTTTCTGTGAGTGCTAGAACTCTTTTTACAGGTTCCAAATGTCTAGGTGACGTTTTGGACTACAATCTCTGCTAAAGACCTGATGAATTCATCCGTGCTATCTTTTCCAAAGTGAAGATTCAAATATTGCTCAAATTCTAAAGGTTCTTTCCTGATCCACAATGAAATACCTGTGTATTATAGTTGCCAACATGATCTATTGTACTTTTAATAATCTCTTCTTTGCTCTGATGCAAATAAATGCAATCCACTAAATCCTCCATAAAGTATACAAAATCCTCCTTGATAATGAGAGAGATCTACAAAGCCTTCAATACTTCTACAGCCATAGAAACAGAGAACTCTGTTGGACGTGGGATTAATTCGGTCAAAGCCTCCAGGAGTTACTTCCAAAATTACAGGTTTTCTTGTATCACTCCAGTGATGCTTATAGCAATTATCTCTCCTTCCTGTGATTTTTCCCTCTGAAAAATCAGTTCTAAATCCCAATGCTTCTGCAAGAAGTTATGTTCTGTGCTCTGTAGAAAAAATTTTAAAAGTCTCTGACTTTTTTCCACTGCCTTTATGAAATGTGAGGTCGAACTCCATTCCTTGTCCTTTTCCAACACGGCTGGTGCTGCAAGTATCTCCATAAGGCCACTGATTCGTCACTTCTAAGGTACTGGGATTACATGCAGTAATCACATGGGTTCCAAACTGGGAAGGCACGCTTGTACTTTCTCCTCCATGAACATTTTTGTTGTATAGAAACATGCCAGATCCTTATTTTCCCTAATTGTGTTCATTTGTGCTCAAACCCTCACGGGAGGCTGCCGAGGCTCCAGTCCTAGCCGTTGTCGGCTCAGCGTCCACAGTGGGTCGAGGTACCCTCCAGCCTCCTCATCCTCACCACTTCCCCTTTCCCCGCCTTCTGGGCCAGTAGCTCCTCTGTCTCGGGTTCCTGGTGCCTCCTTGGCGCTGCCTCCCGGCCCCTCCATCTCCTCCCTCTGCCTCTCAGAGGCTCACTTACGTCTTGATTCAGACTTCTGATGCCCAGAACCTTAAGAGAATGGACTCGTGTTGTTTCAAGTCACTAAGCGTGTGTGGTTTGTTACAGCAGCAAGAGGACTATTAATAATGCGGTGGGGGTGGGAGAGGGGGACGTGCTGTCTCTGCTGGGCAGCACCAAGGAAATAATAAATCAAAGCAGGAGCAGCCAGCGTGGCTGAATGTCACCGTCCTGCCTCACGCAGGCGTTGCAGGTGCAGGCGTGGCAAGCCCAGAGCACCAGATTTAACCAGAGTGAGAGCAGCAAGGCCGCAGACAGAGCAGGAGCCATGGGTGTGTACAAGGGAGAAAACCACCGTGGCTCACAGGTGCCAGTGAGGGAGAGAGACAGGAGGTGGCAGGGCTGGGGCCCAGTGCGGTGCTTGAATCTGGGGGTGCGGGGTGGTTATCAGCAAGGCCCAGTCTCAGGCATTGGCACCAGCGACATCCACCGGCTGCCTGTCTGTGTAGTTTTACCAGAACACAGGCAGCCCCTTCTTTTATGCATTGTGCACAGCTCTTCTCACGCCATATAACAGCAGAGGAGTCATTACAGAAACCGTGAGACCTGCCAAGTCTGAAATGTTTACTCTCTGGCGCTTTATAGAAGCGTGCCCAGCCCTGGTCTAGGCTGGAGGACACAGCCACAGACGAGAGGAGATCCAGGAAGCGGGAGACAGAGTGTCCCACCATCCACAGATCATGAAATCACTGGGAATGAAGACGGTCGTACCAAGTACCAGTGAGTAATGGTGAGGGCCAAGAATGACAGCAAGTGGCCATGGGGTCTCTCCCCCCTCCAGGCCTTTATACTCAGAACTCCTTTTGCCTGCAAGCTCCTCCTAACCCCTTGCTGTAGAAAACTCCTGCTCATCACTCAGGAATAGGTCAGAGGTCATCACCAGAACCTTTCCCTGACACCCCCCTGCCATCAGGACCAGGGCCCCCTCTGTGCACCCAGAGCCCCGTGCTGATCTGAGTAGCGTGGGGCTCCCAGGAGAGCAAAGCCTCGGTGCCCGGGTCAGGAGGCCAGCTGCCTGTGGTCTGCAGAGACCCCACCCCAGTCTCGAGACCAGAGGGAGGTGAGGGACAAGGGCATGTTTGGAGACCAGCTGGGTGGTCCTGAGCAGGAAGTTCGGGATTATTGTGTCTAGGCAAGAGAGGGCTGGCTAGGATGGAAGGAAGGGCAGCTATAATGGGGGTGCCTCTGGGGTCCAGTCACAACACAGGCCTGCCAGACCCCAGTGACCGTGACCCCACGTCCCCCTCTACCTTGGGGACGTGGCAAGGGGGACCACAGGCAAACCTAGCCCAGACCCCAGCCAGAGCCAGGGGTCACCGTATAAAACAAACAAACGCAGGTTTATTTATAAGCAGGAATGCTGTCCAGCATATAGTACGAACTCTCATGGTCTCAGGATCAATGCAGCGGAGGAACAGAGGCCACACCCAGAAGAGTCTCCTTGCAATAATTCACGGCCACAGGCTCTGCTCGGGGACTGCAGAGGAAGCCTGAGGTCCTCCCAGCACTGCCCACCAGGGGGCAGACGCGCCCCACTGCCGAGCAGGGACCAGCGTGGGCAGGCCTGGCCAGTCCGGGCGCTCTGACACCAAGATTCCAGGCTGGGAAAACCCTCTTTGTCTCCATGGTAACGGCTGGGCTCTCCCGCCCGCCAGTAGTTCAGCTGCCAAGTCCGAGTCCAGTGGAATTTATCAACGTGGGATCCAAGTACCTGAGACTGGACCAGCCTCTCAAGGAGTCAGTCCCTGATCTCCCTCCCTTCCAGGATCCAGCTCACCCTCTGCCGGGCTCTGGGCACGTGTTTGGAGCGGGCCGGTCGGCTCTCCAGTGGGGAAGGATCCGTTGGCAAAATGGATGGCTTTGGCTGCCCGGAGGCAGGGCGTTGGCCTTAACGACCTTTGCTGCTTAGACCCACAGCACACAGCCCAGACACAAGGCTTCTCACACCCACTCGGGATCACAGTGGCTCGGCAGCCCCCTGGGGCCAGGGAGTGGGGGCAGGGCGAGAGGCGCACACCCCTCTGGAAGCAGGAGGAAGGTCCAAGCTGAGGTAGCAGGAGAGAGGCGGCTGTGGGGCTCAGTCACCTCCAGTTCCTGAAATTCCCTGATAGTGCACGTGTGGCCTTGGAGCACCCCCCCAGGCGGCCAGGGAGGAGGGACCCGGCCTGCCGGTACTGGAGTGAAGCAGAGGGGACAATAGCGGGGTAAGGGCTGCACCTGGCCCTCAGAGTCTGGCTTCCTTCGCTGTTGGCTGGCTCCCTTCGCTGCAGGGTACTTACTTCTGTTTAATCTGCTACATGTCAAACTTGGGAGATTTCCGGTGAGGAGTTTGTCATCTTGCCCAGGCCATGGCACTGCGTCAGGGTGCCTGCCTGGACCCACCGGGCATCCGATGTTTGCACCACGGTGCGAAAGGACAAGCTAGCAGATGTGAATTTGGAGGTGGGGCTTTCCAAGAGTCCTGAGTTAACCTGAGGGACCCCGTCCCCCAGAGGGGTGCCACCGCCTCCCCGCCAACCATCCGACAGTGGCCTCCTCCTGCCGTGCTGGGACTGTCCTGCAGTCTCAGCACTCAGGCTGAAGCACAATCCCGTCTTGATGGATGACTCACGCGGCGTCCCTCCTTCCCGGCAAGCCCCTCCGGGTCGGGGGGAGGATGGCAGAGCATCTGGAAGCCCAGGCCAGGCCAGAGCCAGGGCAATAAAAAGAAAACACCAAGGGCTCCAGAAGCCGAGCTCGCAGGTCCAGCTCGGGGGCCGGCCACGGAGAGGCAAAGCCTCGCCCAGGCTGTCCCGCGCATCCATGCCCAGCCAGCCTTTCGAGAGGGACACGCCAGGACAGCAGAGGCTTTCCACGACCCACTGTCTCATCCCTCAGCCTGCAGGTGAGAGGGAGGCTGGGGGGGGGAGTCACTAAAGACACTTGGCCTAGAAAGAGCTACAGAGTCCTGGGGTGGGGGCCTAGAAGGACCGGGACCCCTTCACAGGGCCACCCTGCCAGGGCTCAGGCCTGGTTAACTGGGCTTCATTCCGGCGTCAGGCACGCCCAGGGGCAGGGGCTTCTCCTCGGAGCTCTGCAGCAGAGTCTCTGGCGTCTCCCGCTGGGACTGAAAGGCGCACTCCTCCTTGGAGAAGGGGACCTGCTCGTCCTTCGGGGAAGCGGAGGGGCTGGCATCTGCGTCTCCCGCCGTGGAGCTGGCCTGCGAGGAGCACCGTGAGCCGTGGCTGGAGCTGCTGCAGACGTTCACGATGCAGGTGACATTGACCTGGGTCCCGTGGCCACCAGGGGAAGACTCTGCTGAGCACAAGACGGGAGGGGGTGGTCAGTGCAGGAGTCCCAGACTGGGAGATGTCTGCACAGCCCAGGAAGCAAATCAAGACGTGGGGAAGAGCACCGGGCCGAGAGCCGGGAGACCAAGATTCTAGTCCAGCTCTGCCGTGGGACCTTGGGCGAGTCACTTAGCCTCTGTGTGCCTCAGTTCCCCCACCTGCCAAATAAGAACGGCATTACCACCTGCCCAGCCCAAACCACCACGCAGTTGGGAGGAGCCAATTATATAAAGCAGATGAAAGTGTTCTAGGAACAAAACACACTCCCTAAAAAGAATCAGAGAGGTGAGCGGGGACAGGAAGTGCACGTTCCAGAACACTGGTCAAGCGCCGAGGACGCCGGGGACAAGTTACTTTCCCATGCTGCTGGGAGGCGGCGGCGGCAGCCTGGCCACGCCCACTGCTGTAATACAAGGTGAGGACCCCGTCACTGGCACATTATCCGAGTGCCACGGGATCAACGTGAAAGGGCCTGGAAACCGTTCCTCTACGGAGGAGAAACACTGACCCTGAGGTTGTCTTTATTCTCAGCAAATCTTTTTCCACCCCGTAGAGCCGCCTCTAGCATTGCCTAAGTCTAGGGTTCCAGAATAGGGGCAGGGGGTAGTTCTGTCTTCCTTGCAGAGGCCAGGATGCCTAGTATTTGCAGTCTGACAATTCTGGGTTTGAGTCCCTGCTCTGCCTCTGTAGTCTTGGCCAAGTCACTTAACATCTCAGAGCCTCAGTCTTCCCAGCTATAAAATGGGTGTAACAACCCTGTACGTCTCCCTCCGCGCAGGCAGAGGCCACTCTGTCTTGGTCACTGCTGTATCTCTGGAGCCTACACAGCTCCTGGAGAGACACTCAATGAACCAGGGGTTGACAGTTGTTTGGCACCTGTTCTTGGAGAATTACAGTCATCCCAAACTTAACTTTTTTTTTTTTTTAAGAGACAGGGATCTTGCTATGTTGCCTAGGCTGGTCTTGAACTCCTGGCCTCAAGCAGTCTTCCCGCCTCAGCCTCCTGAGCAGCTGGGATTACAGACGTGCCACCACACTGGTTTCAGACCTTACTCTTGGTTTCTGCCCATTTCCCCTCCGCTTGCCCCTCGGCACGGCAGTTCGGTTCCCCCCCTTCCCCCAGCTGCTTGGGTCCAGAGCCTTGGACCGGACTGTTGTACCCCACAACCCACCCACCAGCAATTCCTGCCTTGACTACCTTCAAAGATCACTTGAAGTCCCCACTGCTCTGCTACTGTCCCATGCAATCCTCCACCCCTGGGGTCCTCAAACTATGGACCGCCGAGGATATTTATCCAGCCCACTGGGTGTTTTTGCCGCTGCTGCCTGTCCTGCTTAGCAGCCAACTCATCCCGGGCCCACAGTGCGCACGTGTGGAATGTGCGCCGCACTCTCCAACGGTCTGAGGGACAGTGAACTGGCCCCATTTTTTTTTTTTTTTTGAGACAAAGTCTCGCTTTGTTGCCCAGGCTAGAGTGAGTGCCGTGTGTCAGCCTAGCTCACAGCAACCTCAAACTCCTGGGCTCAGGCAATCCTCCTGCCTCAGCCTCCCAAGTAGCTGGGACTACAGGGATGCGCCACCATGCGCCAATTAATTTCTTTCTATTTATAGTAGCGACGGGGTCTTGCTCTTGCTCAGGCTGGTTTTGAACTTCTGACCTCGAGTAATCCTCCCGCCTCGGCCTCCCAGAGTGCTAGGATTACAGGCATGAGCCACCGTGCCCAGCCATGGGCCCTGTTTAAAAAGTTTGAGGACCCCTGCTCCACCCCCTCCCTATTGGACTGGTGGGACACCCTCCACCTGTGTCCCGGCCTCGACCCCACCCCTCTGAAGTCTGTTCCCCACCAGCAGCCAGGGCTGCCCCTTTACCTTGGCGGCTCACTGCCTTGGCTGCTCACAAACCCGCAGGCCTCACCATGGCCCACAGGTCCTGACCTGGAGCCTGCCCTCTCCCGCCCCAATCCTGCCACCCCAAGACCTTGCCCGGGTTCCTGCCGGCCACGCTCACCTCCCTGCTCACCCTCTCCAGTCACCCATGCCTCGGCTCGAAGAACCCTCTCCCTGGCTTCCCTCCCTAGAGATATTGATCCCCCAACCCCACCCCACTCTACCCGTCACTCCGGGTCCCTGCGCACTTCTGTGATCTCCGGGGGCCCTGGCTCCTGGATCATTTATTGCTTATTTGTGACCACCCCTCCCCCCAGGCCCTGAGCCCAGGAAAGCGAGACTTTTCGACTTCCCTGCTGTGTGCATTCTTAGTGCCTATAACAGGGACAAGTGTTGAATGGATAAAAACCAGCCAACAGGTATGTTTTGGCTTTCGTGGTAGTAGTATTTTTAAAAGTGAATCCACTGCCAACATTTAAGATTCAGGTGTTGGCTGGGCATGGTGGCTCACGCCTGTACTACTAGCATTCTGGGAGGCTGAGGCAGAAGGATTGCTTGAGCGCAGGAGTTTGAGTTTGCTGTGAGCTAGGCTGATGCCACGGCACTCACTCTAGCCCAGGCAACAAAGTAAGACTCTGTCTCAAAAAAAAAAAAAAAAGATTCAGGTGTTTACAATTAAAAATCTGGGTTTTGGCAGGGAGGACTTCAGGGTGCAGGTGCACCCCGCCTTCCAGCCCAGCCCCTCCGGGCAGCAGTCTCCTAACGGGTCAGGGAGGAGCTGGATGACTGAGGAGGCGGATGGGAGGAGCTTGACACACAGCAGCCGGCATGGAATGACAACCGCTGCCGCTGCTGCAGGGATCTGCCGGAGCCCAGACGAGTGGCAGCTGTTTGATTTCCGGTCCTCGCCCCAGCCCGGCTCCCCTGACTTCAGGAACTCCGGGGAGCCTGGGGGGAGTGTGGGGCTGGCCAGCTGCTCTGCTCAGAACAGGCTGGCAGGGGGGAGGGCTGAAATCAGAGGCCCGGAAGGAAATTTCCACCCTGAGCCTCCGCAGCACCCAAATGTCACCCAGAGTCACCATGGCCTTTGCATGTTGCGAATGAGACATCGCGGGGGCGGACGGGGCTCGGCCCTGGGGGTTACAGGTTCCCACAGTGGAGAGAGGTGTCGGCAGTGGGGAGAGGAGAGAACAGAGGCAAGGCAGCGTCGGGGAGAGGATCAGGGGACTCTTGCGAGAGGGAACACAGAGCAGAAGGGGCAGAGGGTTGGGGGGAAGGGCAAGCATGGTCAGGGGTCCACTCTGGGCCCAAGGAGGAGGCCACACCAGGTGTAGCTAAGAAATCAGAAAGATAAATTCAAGAGGTGGACAGAGACCAAGAGTTTGTATTTGGAGCACATTCATTCATTCATTCAACAAATGTTTGGGGCCACCTGCTCTGTTCCAGGCACTGATCCAGGCCCTCCCTCAGCTGGTTCTCAGGTTGAATGAGGGGCCCTAATGAGACCCCCCACTGATGAGGGTGGGCTAGGATGGGGCAAACAGGGGTGGGCACATCAGCGCCTGTGGGCAGTCAGGTGACAGGTAGGAACGGGTGCTGCGGGCGAGGGTGGCATTCGTGCAGGCAAGAGGCAGGGGTGCCGCCGCCAGGGGAGCAGCAGAGTGGGCGTGAGCTGGGTGGGGTGTCGGGTGAGGACTGCGGCCGTCAGCCCCCATCTGGAGGTGGCCCAGAGGGAGCCTGGCCCCGGTCAGGTGCCAAGCCAGGCACAATGCGGCTCATCTTTCACCTGCCCTGCCAAGGAGGTGCCTGGGCTCCCCTCTAGATGAGGGAACTGAGGCGTGGCAGGGTTAAGAGTCCTGCTCAGATACTCATGGCACCAGAGTGGCTGGGCAGGGATCTGGGAATGACCCAAGTTCACGGTCATTGCTGAAGTTCCACTGGCTGGAGCTGCCAGGTGAGACTGAGAGACACAGGCCAGCAGACTTGACCTCCCCACTGCAAACAAACCCCAGGAAGCCCCAGGATTTCTGGGGGCCCCCTCCAGTGTGGGCCCTAGAGATGCCAACCAGCGGTGACTTCTGTCATAGACCAGGTCCAGGACGAAATGCAGACTGTGTAAGCAGGACACAGTCCCCACGATCCTGGCTCCTCAAGCCCAAAGGGACCCAGCAACAACCGCAGGGAGTGGAGCCCTGCAGGCATCACTTCTTCATCCCCTCCCAACCAACCCAAGGGCTCTGGAGCCTGCCAGCCCAGGGAAGATCCTGGCTCTTCCGTTTACCAGCTCTGTGCCCTTGAACAAGCTGTTTAACCTCCCTGGGCCTCAGTTTCCTCATCTGTGAAATGGGGATAACAGTAGTAACTCTCTCTCAGCATGGATGTGAAGGATGATTTTATGCACGTAAAGTGCCCAGGACAGCCCCCGATGCGCCGTACGCCTTCAGTGAGCATAAGCTACTGTTATTATTGCTGTTATTAGCTACGTGCAGTGCTGGGCCTGTGGCACGGGATGAATGAGATGATCCAGGCTTCCCAGGAGTCCCCAGCCTGGTGAGGGGACAGGAGGACACAGGCAGTGGCTATGCACGCAGTCTGACAGTCCTGAGAAGGGGACAACGCAAGGGCCTGTGAGCCCGGAGGAGCAGCCAGTCCAGCGGGGGGGTGGGGGCGGGGGGTGGCGAGGTGGGAGGGAACTCGGTGGTGCAGGAACTGGAAGAAGGTCTCATCCTGCAGGGAGGCTCCCAGAGGAGAAGCCATGACAACCAGGCAGGACAGACAGACACGCGCTCACCTGAGCTCCCGGCGCTGGCCCGGGCCTCCGCAGACCCTCCGGCCGTCTCCGCGCCTGGCACCTGCGGCTGGCTGGCCGCGGCGGGCGCCGTCCCGGGCGCGGCGCTGGCCGAGCTCTCCAGGGAGCTGCTGCTGGGCTGGGCGCCGCGGTCAGCAGGTGCTGCTGCTCCAGGCCTGGCGCGCCCCGGGCCTTATCGGCGGGCAGGTGAGGCTGCACGGGCAGGGGGAGGGGCAGCGGTCAGCCCGCAGGCCAGTCTCTGCCCTCCTCCTCCTCACCGCCTCCTGCGCCTCCTGCCACCAGCACCTGGCAGCTCACACCTGTGCCCACACCCGCACGCCCTTCCCCACGGGGCCCTTGTGGGGAGGTGTGACTCTCCGCGGCTTTTGTTTGTGTTACGAGCCCCAGCTGCACTGCTGGAGTGCTGCGAGCCTGCCCACCAAGTGTCTTAGTGCTGGGGCAGGATTCCCATCCTCATTTTGCATAAGGAAACAGAAGGAAAGTGACTTTCCTCCTAAGGTCACCCCATCCGCACAGAGAGACGTGGCCCAGCCTAGCAGCCAAGAGCACGGACTCTGAATCCAGCCCACAGGAGGGCAAATCATGACTCTACCACTCACTAGCTGTGTGGCCCTGGACAAGTTGCTTAACCTCTCTGTGCCTCCATTTTTCATCTATAAAAGGAGGATAATAACCTATCTCATAACGTTGTTGTGAAGATTAAAAGCTGAATATTTTTAAAGTGCTTAAAACAATACCTGTTACATAGTAAGCTTATACAAAGATTTTATTAAATCAGAAGTAGGTAAAGTACTGCCCATGGGTCAAATCCAGCCTGCCTTCTATTTTCGTACAGGCTGCAAGCTAAAAATGGTTTTCACTTTTTTTTTTGAGATAGAGTCTCACTCTGTTGCCCAGGTTAGAGTATCCTGGCGTCAGCCTAGCTCACAGCAACCTCAAACTCCTGGGCTCAAGCAATCCTCCTGCCTCAGCCCTCCGAGTAGCTGGGACTACAGGCATGCACCACCATGCCCGGTATAATTTTTCATATATATAGTTGGCCAATTAATTTCTTTCTATTTATAGTAGAGACGGGGTCTCCGCTCTTGCTCAGGCTGGTTTCAAACTCCTGACCTTGAGCATCCGGCCCCCTGGGCTCCCAGAGTGCTAGGATTACAGGCGTGAGCCACCGTGCCCGGCCAAGGGTTTTCACATTTTTAAATGGCTGAAAAAATATTTTTTTTAAAAAAAGAATGATATTTTGTGACACATGGAATTATGTGAAGTTCAAGTTTTAAGGTCCATAAGTAAAGTTTTATTGGAACACGCCACTTGGTTTTTTTACGCACTGTCTATGGCTGCTTTCCTGCTACAAAGGCAGGTCTGAGCAGTTGTCACCGAGACCATACGGTCCACAAAGCCCAAAATTGTTACTGCCTGTCCCTTTGCAGAAAAAGTGTGGTGACCCATCCAGGGCAGGGAGCCCTCTCACTGGGGACCGTCGGCCGTGCTGTCCCAGCTCCCCTTTCCGGAGTCTACCCCCACGATGCCCTGTGACGTCTCCTGATATCTTTTCCCCATAGAACATTATAATAATCATAAAATATTAGCTGCCGTTTGAGTGCCACCTAGTGCCCAGCACTGGGCCAAAGTTCCCCCAGAAACTCTCTCTGTGGAGCCTTCCGACAGCCCTGTGTTACCCTCGCTTTGCAAATGTGGAAACCGAGGCACGGACACGGTGAACCACAGAGGCCGAGGTCACAGTTAGGACACAGCGCAGTTGGGCAGCCACAATGCCTTTCCTGGGTGTCTGGGGTTTCAGCTCTGGAGACCCAAGACAAAGTCCCCACTTCCAGACACCCGGGCCGGGAAGCATCTGGAAATTCCACTCCAAGGCTGCTGTCTGTCCACACTGACTGAGCAGGAATTCAAGGCCTTGCCCTGGGCTTCTTGGTGATCGCTAGATCCCAGGAAAAGGGCGATGGCAGGGCCATGTCCTCACCAGCTGACCTCTGGCCTGCGCAGGGCCAGAGAGAGGGTTCCGGCAGAGTGAGGATGGAGGCAGGTGTATGGCTGGCAGGACTCGCCAGCACCGCAGGGGGAGGGGGGGACCAGAGGGCACAGGTACCCTGGCCCCAGGGAAAGGCTGAGACCCACCCTCAACTCCCTCTGCCTTGGGACTGGAAGAATCCTGTGCAAGCCATCCCATGAGGCCACGGGGGCCCAGAGAGGGTGAGTTCCAGGCTCAGAACCACACAGGTGGCCCGCTGCAGGGACAGGACAAGCCCAGAGCAGTGTGCCAGGGCTGCATGCTGCCACCGAGCCCTCTCGCTTCCCCAGAAGGCCACCCACCGGGCTGCCTTACCCCGTTCTAGAGGGCATTTCAGGTTCATGCTGAACCTTCACTCAAGGGGTCTGACCTGGGCCACTCCCTGCCCCCCAGCCCTGCTCTGGGCTTGGAAGGGGAGGAGGAGCCTCCAAATGTCATTCCTCACAACCCCCACGGAAGGGGCTTTCTGGTCTGTGCCTCACCCTCTCTGCTGCTGGTGGCTCGAGCCAGGCAGAACAGAAACCCTCAAAGGTCACAGCCCGCCTCCCTCCTCCAAAGCCACAAGCTGCAAAGTTCAGACAGGCTGCGGGTGGCACAGATACAGCCTGAGTCCTGTTCCTTGGGCGGGGACCCCACAGGGGCGGAGCACTGAGGAGGTCCATTCAAAACACAGACTCCCAGCCAGCCGCCAGTGCCCTTGGCTCCCAGCCTCTCCTCCCAGCCTCTCCCGCCGGGCAGGAGCAGAGACCCTGGCAGAGCCGCTGGCTGGATCCTCCAGGTTCCTGCTGGGTCCGTGTCTGTGTGTGTGAGCGTGTGTTCACAAGGCTCGCACACCCCTATCTAGAGCCATGAGGGTGTGTGAAGTGTGCACACACATGTCTATGAGTGGCACGGTTAGTGTGTGTGCTGGGGGTGGGGAGGAGAGGCACTCCTAGGTTGTGTCCCAGGCCACTCTCATCAGCTGTGCCACCTTGGGAAAGTCACTTAACTTCTCTGGGCGCAAGTTTCCGGGGCTATAAAATGGGGGCGCTAATTATACTGCCTGTGTGTGGCAGCATGGCTGTGAAAATAAATTCAACACCTGCTACCTGTTCATACTTGTTATTAAATGTGAGCCCGTGCACGAGCGTGGCCGTGGGGGTGACCGTGGGTGAGCTCACACGTGTGCATACGCTGGTCTTCTCTAAACAACGGGCAGCCACTGTCCCTGTGCCCTGGGAGTTATTTCTGCAGCAGGAGGAACAGGCTGTGCTGAGTCGACAACACTCACCCAAGCCCAGCGGCCCGACTAGCTGGCAGCTGGGGAGCCCGTGGGGTGCAGGCTAAGCAGGGGCCGGACTCCTAAGTGGGAGCCCCAGGCTTGAGGGGTTCCTGGGAAGGTGGCCAACCTCTGAGGGCTGGGAACAGCTCTGAATGTCTCCCCTGGCAAAACCTGCAGATTTAGACTGATTTTCAAGCCTGGGCTATGCCACTTCCCTCACTATCTAACCTCACACGGGAAACCAAGCCTCCTCTGTAAAATGGGGGTGATAACACTCTGGCTGGCAGGGGTGTGGGGGTTCAGGGAGAGCAGCTCGGGCAGAGAGCCTGGCGAGCTGGCCCCAGCTCAGACCGTGCGTGCTTCTCCATATTCGGGAGGGTCTTGGTGGCTTGACCACACTGGGCGTATTTACACCACAGAAATTAGCAAACACCACAAATCAGGGTTTGGGGGTTTCTCCCCCACTGGAGAGCCGGTTTCCCAGCATAGCACTGGGCTCTGTGTACACTGCTCACTGCGCAAACGGAACCTCGGCGGAGGGAAAGGGGAAGCGGAAGCTGCGGGCCACACCCGGGACGTCTTCCCTGCACGGAGGTTGGGAAACACTTGGTTGGGAAAGAGAAGACCCAGCTGGGCTGCTGGGGCAGGGCCTGGAGGGGACGCTGGCTCTACGTGCCACCAGGCAGCAACTGTCGGCATCACCGAATCGAAGCCACAGAAAGGCAGAAGTGGGATTCACACCCTGGGAGGATAAGAAACAGGCTGATCCCCACTTAAACACTGCAGAGCACTGGGCTGGGAGACATTGCTGTGTAACCCTGGGCAAGTCACTTTCCCTCTCTGTGCCTCTTTTCTTGTCAGCAAAATCAGGAGATAAAAACCAGTCACCCTGATTTCAAAAGTCCTGTGTAAGCCTCAGGTACTGGGACACCCAGGACTGAGCTTATCCGGGGCACAGTGGTTCTCAACTGGGGGGGATTTGGCCCCCAGGGGATACTTGGCAATGTCAAGAGATTTTTGGCTGTCACTGCTGGGTGGGGGGGCTACTGACATCTAAGTAAATACAGGACAGAGATGTTGCTGAACAGCCCACCATGCACAGGACAGTCCCCCACAACTAAGACCTATCTTGTCCCCATATCGGCAAGGTTAGGGACTCTGCCCTAGCAGGACGGGGAGCATGAGGTGGCTCCATGGACTCTGTTTCCTCATCTGTAAAATTGGGTAAAAAACCTGCCCTCCCTAGCACTCTGGGAGGCCGAGGTGGGAGGATTGCTTGAGCTCAGGAGTTTGAGACCAGCCTGAGCAAGAGTAAGACCTCATCTCTACTATAAATAGAAAGAAATTAGCCCAACAACTAAAAATAGAAAAAATTAACCGGGCATGGTGGTGCATGCCTGTAGTCCCAGCTACTCGGGAGGCTGAGGCAGGAGGACCGCTTGAGCCCAGGAGTCTGAGGTTGCTGTGAGCTAGGCTGACGCCACAGCACTCACTCTAGCCCGGGCAACAGAGTGAGACTCTGCCTCAAAAACCAAAAAACAAAGGTGAGCTGCGTTGAAGTCGGGGGACGACCCAGAGCCCAGCCCTGCAGCACCCATCTCAAACCAGAGAGATGGCGCCCCCAGGGCTCTCGGTTGGACGCCGGGGTGCCCTGGAACTGTCTCACCGCTCCCTGCGCAAGCGCCCTGCAAACACGCAGAGAGGACGAGGATCGTGCCAGCTGAGGAAGGGCACAGCCCTGCAAGCTGGACAGAGTAGACACTACCCTCATTTAGTGATGAGGAAACGGCCGTAGAGCAATTTCGTGTCCACCCAAGGCTACACTGTGGGTCCACCAGCACATGCCTGCCACCAACACCACTAAGTCCCCTGCTCCCTGACCGGGCATTTCACACTCTCAATCTCCTTTAGCCCATGGAGGGCCTTTGCCTTTGCCCAGGCTGTGCCCCCAGGCCTCTCCTCCACCTCCAGGGCTCTGCGTACCTCCTGACACTGGACAGATCAACCCAGAGAACTCACTGTTCCCTGGCCGAGTGTGGTGGCTCATGCCTGTAATCCTAGCACTTCGGGAGGCTGAGGAGGAAGGATCACTTGAGGCCAGGAGTTTGAGAGCAGTCTGGGCAATAGCAAGATCCTGTCTCTACTAAATATTGAAAAATCAGCCAGGCATGGCGGTGCATGCGTGTAGAACCAGCTACTCGGGAGGCTGAGGCAGGAGGATCGCTTGGGCCCAGGAGTCGGAGGCTGCAGTGAGCTATGATGACGCCACTGCACTTCAACCTGGGCAACAGAGTGAGACTGTCTAAAATAAAGAATTCACTGTTTTCCTGTGTGACAACCCAGCCCGCCTGGAAGGAGACCAGGAGAAGAGGAGGGAGAGGGCAGAGGGACACTCACCACCTTGCCTTCTCTTTGCAGGCAGGAGGGCTTCTCTATAAAGAGGAAAGAGGGGACAAGTCAGGGAGTGTGACTTCCTCGGGGAAATGTCTGTTCCAACTAGCAGGGCGGCAGGAGGCCCCGCCCTGGGGGCAGAAACTGCCTACCAGGTCCACAGAGGCCCCCATCCAGCCCTGCCTTCCCCCACCCCTACCATTCTCCAGCCCCTCCTGTGCCCACGCCACGCCCTCCATGCTGGGCACCCTTTCTTTCCTGCACATTCTCCGCCCATGGAGACCTTGCCCAACTCACAGCTGCCTGCCCCAGGAGGCCTGAATCCCCCAGGCTCCCTGGATAAGAATCCTGAACTCTGACTCCCTTGGATGACCCCGCTCCCATCTTGCCTTTCAGTAGTTAAGTTAGTGGAAGTGTCCTCTGCCCCGGCTCTAAGCTTCCACACAACAGGGACTGCGTATTGCCCCTGTCAGACCCTTGAGACTGTGCCCCATGCTGGACTCAAAAGAAGCGCCCCAGAAAAGCTTTCTCAACAAGTGGAAGAGGGAAGGAAGGATGGAATCTTACTTTTCTTCTGATTCACGATGACACAGTACACCAGTCCTATTATTAGCAGACCCAACGCTGTCACACCCACGATGAGACCTGGGAAGGAAAGAGAAGCTCAAACAGCTGCCCAAAACAAACTCCAGCACCCCAGGGGCCAGGCAGGCCCGGCCATGACCCACGGTGGCTGGAGCGGTGGCACGGGAGGGGCAAGTCCAGGCCGGAGGTTCTCAAACTCCATTACAAATCAGACGCGTCTGAGGGCCACCTTCAACCTGAGAGCCACCAGTCTGAGACCTCTGGCCTGACGCAGGCCTAACCCCCGCAGAGAGCCTGCAAGGTGACCTAGACCAGCCCCCTGTGTTCTCAGCCTGGTGGCCCCATCAGAAACAGAAACCAGGAGACCACCTCCACGTTCGGTAAAGTGCTTCCCACCCAGGGATCCTCAGTGCCAGCCCAGGTCTCAGGAAGAGACTAGCCTGTCACCTGTATGCCAGCACAGAGCACAGGGTCCAGCCCACAGTGGGCTCTCGGCAAGATGCTGGGGAGGGAGGGAGGGAGGAAGGGAGGGAAGAAGCAGGGAGGGGAATAGAAAGAAAGGAGGTAAAATCTTTCATTGGACTAAAAAAAAAAAAGAAAGAAAGGAGGAATGAATGAATGAGTGAATGAATGAGCCGCTTGCTTACTGACTGGAAGAGAGATGTCGCCACTGCTGACCCCTTCAGCCGGGGCGCTGGGGCCCACTGGGAGCAGGAAGGAGGTGCTTGGAGCCGTGCTGGGCCCTGGAGTTGGCTCCCTGTGCTGGGGTGTCGTGGACGCCGGCCGGGGGACGCGGGCTGGCCCCGGGGCCGCTCCCAAGGTGGGGGACGCAGGCGAGCAGACTGCATCCGTGCTCGCATTGCCAGGGATGGCCACCGAGCTGCAGCTGGGGGAGGAGGAGGCTTGGTCCGGAGGCAGCAGAGGACAGTGGCTTGGGGTGGCTGGGCTCATTCACGAGGCCAGGGCAGTGGACACGGGTCCCAACAGCCGGGATGCGAGAGTGAGAGGGTGTGCTACCCCCTCTCTCAGGACCACCCCCTCCTGTCCCTGCCCTGCCTCCCCATGCACCCACCCCGACTTCCAGGACAAGCTCCTACTCGCTGGGCCACCTAACCTGGGACCCACCCTCAGGTGAGCCAGTCTGGGCGATGGTGGCGGGTGAGCTGCTCTGTGTCCTAGACACCACGGTCACCCAGGGACAGCCCTTCCCTGCTCCCCCAGAACCAAAGCACTCAGCCACTCACGTCCGGTGGGGTCTGCACGTCTCCGTGGATGAAGTCGTGCTGGAGAATGTCCCCGGGGCGCAGGGCCTGCACACCACGTCTGACGTTGCAGTTCCTTCCAGGAAAAAAGTGGAACCTGTCAACGACTCAAACACTCTGCGGAACAGGTGGGCCCTGGCCCTGGAGCCTTAGGTGAGGCCTGAGGGGCCCAAGGAGCTCTCTCTGTGCCTCCACCCCTTAAAATACACATGCACACACACGCACACACATGCACACACACGCACACACATGCACACACACGCACACACAGGCACACACATGCACACGCAGGCACACACACGTGCACACACACGTGCACACACAGGCACACACGTGCACACGCAGGCACACACACGTGCACACACGCACATGCAGGCGCGTGGTCTCCAGGTTATGTGGCTTCATCTCCCTGCAGCGTCAGCGGATTTGCGCGGTAGGCGTGTGGTCAGGGTGCGGAGGGAGGAATGAATGGTGACCGAGTAGACGATGGACGCATAGCGAGCCCCTGGCCACCACTGACAATGCTCCCAAGCTGGACTGATGGGGCGATGCCCGTGCCATCGCAGAGATGTCCACGAAGAAGAGACCCAGGGCGGTCCCCAAGGACGGCTGGCCCTGGCCCATACCTGGTTTGGCGACGCCGAAGCCGGGGCGGCACTTGCGCAGCTGCGCGCACAGCCGGCAGCCCTGCTGCTTGCTCAGCATGCAGTACCAGCCCGGCCTGCAGGCGCAGATGCGGTTCTGCTTCGGGGTGCAGGCTTGCGTTTCCACCTGGTCTGGAGGAGCGAGAGCCCAGGGTCATTTCCGCCTCCGCCACGCCACGCTGCCCTCCCAGCCGGCACTTCCCGGAGGCTAAGGGGGCACCGTTCTCCCACCGCCTGCCCCGGGGGCCGTGGAGAGCATTTGGTGGGAGAGGCGGAAATGCCACCTGCAAGCAGTAAAGAGCTGTCAAAGGCCACCTCAGCCCCCGGGGCATGAAAACGCCTGGCCAGGAGCAATCCCAGCCGGCTCACAACCACAGGGGCTGCAGCGCCTGCCAGCCAGGCAGGGTGCTGGGCCCGCCTCTGCCCCGGGGACACTCACCAGAGCTGCAGCGGGAGTCACAGCTGAAACAGCTGGGGACCCAGTTCCAGAGCTGGGTGTACGTGCTGTCCTCGCAGGGCACACACACGGTGTCTGAGGTCTCGGTGCAGAAGTCTTTCACACGGCAGCCTGCGCAAGCGAGGGACAGCGGCCTCAGCAGGCTGGGGCGTCTGCCAGGGCCCCGGGCTTATCGGCTGCTCCCCAGAGCCCCAGGGTTCTGGAACCTTAGCTGGGAAGGCCTTTTGATGGAGCTCTAACTCCTCTGACTTATCTCACACCTGGCACGTGCCAGCTGTCAGTATGTTTGTGCACCCCTTCTGCTCAAAAAGCATCTTCCTCTGCTCGTCCCACATGCCTAAAATCCCACCACCGATGAAAAGTCAAGTCCGTGAGAACTGGTTTGCCAGTTCCTTTCTTCTCGATCGTTGGCTAAAACTCTCCACACCTGGGGGTGTGAGCTACAGGGCAGGAAGGCAGTAGCAGGGTCATGTCGTCCCTGCTGTCCCATCAAGGACAGGGCAATGGACTCCTGCATGCCAGGGGACGGGACACCAAGGGAAACCTTTAAGGAGTTCACTCTTCCGCGCCCCGTCCCCATTCCCATCCTGCCGTGCTCGCTGCCATGCTTAGCGAGGACCTTCCTGGAGATGCTGCCTGTTCATAGAAGAAAGAAGAGCCTCGTTCCCTGGGGGCCTCTCAAATGGCCATGGGAAGTGACAGGCGCACACATGCCTGCCCACATCTCAAGCTAATGGCTCAAAGCCCTCCACTGGCTTCCAGGCTGTCGCGGAATAAAATTTAAACTCCTTGCCGTGGCCCCTGCTTCCTCTTCATGTCATCTCCTACCACGTTCCCCCTCACTCACGCTGGGCCACACACGCTGGCCCTGCCACTCCTCAAGTTCACCAAACAGGCTTCCACCTCGGGGCCTTTGCACTTGCTGTTGCTCCTGCCTGGCACGCCGTTCCGTGCTTATTTGCAGGACTCGCTCCGTCACCTGCTGCAGGGCTCTGCCCACATGGTACCTCCTCAGAGCGACCTTCCCAAATCACCCCCTGCACAACGGGACACTTCGCTCTCTCCGTCCCCCTCTGCCTCAGCTGGCCTTGTTTTCTGCGCAGCACTGGCTGACAGGGGGGCCACACACCTGCTGCTAGTGTATCTGTCCTTGTCCCCCACTGGACTCAGACTCCACGAGAGCAAGGGTTTTGCCTGCCCTGCCCTCTGCTGTATTCCCAGCACTTAGAACACACAGTAGGTGCTTTAGGGGTGTGACGGGAGTGAGTATATAAACAGAGGAAAGACAGACGGCTCCAGGAGTCGGGCTACCTGGCTCTGCCAACGGGGGCTGGGCCTCGGGTCTGCCATCTGTGCACTGGATGAGCGTGCACTGACTCAGTCAGACATGCACTGAGCACCTACTACGTGCCGGGCATTGTGCCATGGGATGGGGATTCAGTGGAGAACAAGCCGCAGTTCCTGCCATGAGGAGCACACAGTGGGGGCACCACGGAAGACCAGGCCACGATTCTACAGCGTGGAAGAGGTGCCGTAGGAAGACCAGGGGCACCCAAAGGAGGCACTGGGCCTGGCTGGGCAGTGTGGGGCGGGCTTCCTGGAGGAGGGGACGTCTAAGCTGAGGTCTAAAGGATAAGTAGGAGTTAACCAGGGGACGGGGGTAGGAAGCGTGCCAGCAAGGGGAACAGAATGTGCAAAGGCCCAGAAATAAGAGGGAGTGCTGGCTGCTGCCCGGAACTCGGAATTCGGTGGGGATTGAGGGACATGACCCTGTCCCTCCCTGGCCCTGTGCACACTCGCCCCTCTGGGGCACCAGCCTCTCAAGGCCCAGCCAGCCCAAGGGTCGGGGCCCCAGCACCGCCCCTCACCAGGTGGGCACTTGCTGCAGTACTTCTGGGTTGTCTGGTCGTAGAATTCCTTCGGCTGACACATGTTCCTGGGGTCCGAGGCATCGGGTGAAAATGCCACCTGGAAGGGGGAAGGGAAGACAGCCACGAGCAGTGTCACCCTGGGTTCTGCCATGGCTGACGCCCCAGTCCTTGTCCTGCAACCGTCTGGCCCTCTCCCTGCAGGGTCTACTGATGTGGGGGTCTCTCCCTTTGGAGGGGGAGTGGAAGGGAGAGTCCTGGCCGTCTTTCGCCTCCTCCGCCTCCCCCTCCGTGCAGCACTCTCGTGTCTGCAGGTGAAGGACCGAGGCCGCTGGCAGGGCTGGGCGGGCTTTAGACCTTCCCCAGCGCCTCGTGGCTCCTGCCACTACACAGGGCAGATGTGGGGCCACGAAGCTGCCCAGAAGGCCGTGGCCTTGGTCACAGAGAGCCAAGGTCTTCAGCACAAAGCTGCCCTCTGCCTAGGATGCCTCTTGTTCCCTCCTGCGCCTGGGAAATGTCCCTTTGTCCTTCAAGCTGAGTGCTGCTTCCTCCGAGAAGCCCTCCCTGACTCCTGACTCCTCCAGGCTAATGTAGGCTCCTCTTCCTCCTCCTGGCTCTCTCACTGAATGCTGGATATGGCCCCTTCTAAGGATCATCCCATTGTTCTGAAACAGCTACTTGCTTGTCCTTGTGCCCTATGTGGGCACATGCACGCGCACATGTGGGCACGCACGCAGGTACACACACACACGCCTGCAACGTACAGGGCAGACGGTGGCCTCGTCATCTTTAGGCCCTTGGGCTCTGACATGGGACCCATAGTGGGGCTGGGGCTCAGTGCATGAATGTTGGTCGATGACAGTGATGACTGTAAACATATTTTTGGGAGCACCTCCTGCGTGCCAGGCACTGTCGTGAGTGCTTCGGTTGCTGAAGTGTGTGGGTGCTGCTGCATCCCGCTCAGACCCCCCTCGCCAGCAGGCATGCCCCGCTCTGCAGGTGCTGGCTGACAGTGGCCCCACAGCTCAAGGGCCATGCCCCGGTCTCAAGGTGGGACCGACTCTGGTACAATTCACGGTCCAGAGCTCGCTGCAGCGTCAGGCTGAAGCAGGGCCCAGCTGCGACCACGCCCCTGCCCTGTCCTGCCTCCGTCCTCCCTTTCTCCTGGAGACCTCCCAGTAAGTCACTTCACAAGCGTCCCTGCCTCGGGCTCTGCTTCTAGAAGACCCGACCTAAGACAGGCCGTGTGATCTCCGTGAGGCCTCCCCGCAGCCCAATGAAGAAGGTATCCTCACTATGGCCATTTTACAGAACAGGAAACCAAGGCTTTAAGAGGGTCACTTGCCCGAGGTCCCAGAGCCAGTAAGTGACACAGGAGGATTTGAACCCGGGTCCTGTCTCAGTTCACAGCTGGCGATCTCAGCCACTGTGCCACCTGGCTCCGTGCAGAGACGAGCCAAGCGGTGAGTGAAAAGAGAAGAAAGAGGAGAAAAGAGAAAGGAAAAGGGGTGCAGAGAAGGTGCAGCCCTGAACAGACCCCAAACACCGAGCTCGCCTCCCCCAGTCTCTGAGTGGCCCCTGGGGAGTGCAGGGCAGTGGCAACAGTCCCCACGCTGCCTGTGCCCTGGCGCATGCCCCTGAGACCTGCTCTTCCTCCAGAAAGACTTGCGTTGGCTGTCCTGGCCTTTGGGGACAAGCAGTCATTGCCACACTTGCAGTGGCTGCCAGCAAGCTCCAAGTTGATGCATTCATGTGTAGGCAAACCTGGGCGTGCGCACGTCTGTACAAGCACAGAGGTGTACACGCACACCCCCAAAGTCCCTTCGGGGCCCTTTAGACATGTCACCTTGAAATGACCAGGAGGTCAGAGTCGAGGGCTCTGACCTCAGGCCCCATTGCCTCGCCAGCCGCAATCACACGGTCAGTGTGAGCTCCACAGACCTTACTGAACGAGTGATAAGGACAGAGAGTCTGAAAGACCTGGTTTCAACCCTCACTTACCAGCTGTGTGGCCTTAGGCTAGGGCCTTACCCTCTCTGGACTCCAGCACCTAACACGCAGGAGCAGGGGAGATATTCGAAACATTTAACAACCAGCACATGATGGGCACTGACCAGTCACCCTGGCCATCAGCTGTAACAAGCCAATCAGAACGGACTCCAGCCACGCTATGGCACTGCTGGGCCTGCGCAGACCTGGCCAAATCTCCATCGTCAGTGTGCCGCCCCTCCCCCGCCACAGCACTGCCTGGGAGTCGTGACGGCCCAGGCCCTTGGCTGGCCCCCACAGGAAGTGACCAGTAGGCCTGGCAGGCAGCGCTGACCGCCTTGGCTGCACACAGCCTGGTGCCAACGGCTGGGAGCCATCAGCGAGAAGGACCCATGGGGGCCGGGGGCCCTGCTGCAGGGCAATCTCCAGCTCTTCCTGCCCCAGTGCCTCGGCCCGAGCTGTCTCCTGCCTGGAACAGCCTCCTGCTTCCTCTGACAAGTTCCATTTCATCCTTAAGAGCCCGTCTCTGGCAGCAGCAAGGCCTGCACCCCACCCCGAGTGAGTCACTAGAAGCCAGAATCCCCCCTTCCTCCCTCGGGGCTCCTGGCAGACAGGGCTGCCGTTGGGTCACTCACCTGGGCCCCTGCTAGATGGGGAGCCCCCGAGACTGCGGGCTGGGGTTACTCTGTGCTGCTGCCCCGAGCCTGGCGTGGAGTGGGTGCCCAGTGGCGGCTAAGCTAAGCAGTCAGCTTTGTCACAGTGTCATCTCCGGCAGGGGTCCGGCCCCAGCACCAGAGCCAGGAAACTCAAATGTGGGAGCACCCACCAGCCTGGCCTGCCCCTGAGGCCCCTACCCCACCCCAGCCCCACCCCAGGCCCAGGGCCAAAGCCAGGACAGTCAGCTCTGGTGAGACTGGGATATCACAGGTGGCCCAGTAAGGGAGCTGGGGCCCACTCTGCACCGCAGAGCCCGGAGAAGTAACTTCAGCTCTCTTCTGGACCCTCAGTTCACATGCGCAGGGGCGCGTGCACACGCACAGACGCGCGCGCACACGGCACGCAGTCCCAGCACCTCTTCCCTCCCAGCTGGGTGCTGGTGTAGACGTCCAGGCACCCGGGGCAAGAGGAGCAGCCTTCGCTGGGTTCTCAGTGTGGGGGAGCTCCCTGCCTGCGTCCAAAGCACCGGGGGGCCTGTCACAAATGCCAGCTCCCACTCCCCAAACGGGGGCAGGCTCTCGGGGTGCGCGCCGGAAGCTGTACTGCTACCAAAAAAAGGCAAAAGCAAAAGGAAATCTCCCCAGGGATTCCGACGTTCCCCTGCTGACCACGACCGGACTATCAGGCTCCCTGGACAGAGCAGGGTGACCGAGGGGGGTGTGGGGAAAGGGCACACGGCGCAGAGGGGTGGGGGGGCCAAAGGCTGGGGAAGCCCCAAAACGGAAAAAACCGAACTTCCAAAACCCCCCCCGCAAAAAACAATCCCCCCGCCCCCCCACACCCCCAAACTGGCCTTCCCCGAAGGCTGCTGCTGGGTCGCTTCCCCACGGGGAGGGGCTGTGCCTGTCCCCTCTGACTGAGCGGCCACCCGGGTGGCCTCAGACAGCACTCCCCAGGGCTGGCAGGGCTGCACCTCTCCCCTTGCCGCCCCCTGCCCACCCCCTGCCCTCCAGCCTCACCCCTGCAGGGCCTGAGAACCGCAGGGCCAGGGCGGCTCCAGGCCAGGAAGACAAATCCTGCCCTGGCTGGGGAAGGGCTTCCTGTCAGGGCCCCGAGAGCCTGATGGGAAAGGGCCCTGCCTTGGCCAAGTCGGGCTCCCTTGAGGCCCCTGGACGGGCGGCGGGACCCCCACGGCCCCAGGCGGCTGACCAGCGGCCTTCTGCCTCTTCGCTGTGAATAGCCTTCTCTGCGCCTCCTCCTGCGCAAAGTGTGACTCCAGCCCCCGCGGCTGCCGGAGGGTCACGGCTCCCTCAAGCAACCTCCAGGCCTGCTTATCCTCTTGGACAGAGAAAGAAAAACAAGAAACCGCAGCCCTGTCACGGCTAAACAATGAGGAACAGAAAGCCCCTCAGCAGGGCAGGACAAAAGGTTACTCCCTCCCCTGCAGGGCTCCCCAGAGCAGGGGTCGGGCCCAAACCACAGCCCTGGGAGCCTCGGTGGGTCCCCAGAACGAGGCCAGCAGCCCCCAGAACGAGGCCAGCAGCCCCCGGGAAACGCAGCGCTCTGGAAGTCTGCAGCCCCTCTGCTCTGAGTCGGGGAGGCTCCGACTCACACTCCACCCCCACAGGGGCTCTTTCCCATTTTAAAATGAGGAAATGAACTGGATAGTACTTGATTCAACCAGCCTGTTCAGCAGATCTGGTCTTGCAAAGTATGGGGGGTGAAATTTTGGAAATCACTGCTAAGGGCCAACTGCCCGTTGACCAGGTGGGGAATCTGTGAGCTGGTGGTGAGGGCACTAAAGAAGACAGAGAGACAGATGCAGAGAGAGAGAGAGAGAGAGAGAGAGAAAGAGAGAGGTACATGGAGTGGCCCTGAATCTAACATCCCATTTGGTGAGGCAGGTCTGATCGTGCCCATTTCACAGATGAGATAATGGAGACAGAAAGGGGCAAAGCTACCTCCCCCAGCCTCCCACAGGCTTTGGGTCATTCCAGGGCCTGTACGGTGGCAGGCAGAGGGAGGACTGTGCACAAGGAGCCCATCGGGGCCCACCCACAGGCCCCAGAGCTGCAGCACGCCAGGGCCCACTGCCCCCCATTTCCTCTCCGCAGCACTGTGCTCCCTCCTCCTAGGACCCGAGGCACCTGCGGCTAGGAGACAGGAGCACCTGTCTCCCGGGGACAACCGTACCCGTTAGGGCCACAGTCTGACCTGCTCTTCTCACTGACATTCACAGATGCTCACAGAGGTGACGTGGCTGCCCCAGGCTCCACAAGGAGAGCTGCGATCCTTGCCGCCCCCCATCCTGCTGCCCCCAATCCTGCCGCCCTTCTCTCGGGGCCCAAGCTTCCCTCCCCCTCAACACAGACCCGAGACCCCAAGGGCCCTAGAGCTGCGCGGCCCAACCTCAGCAGCCTCCGTCCTGTCCCAGAGAGGAGCTGTCCCTGTCAC